GGGCCAGCCAACAAAAAAAAAAAAAAGACTGCCAGACTTTGGTGGGACCACAGGGGAATGCACAGACAAGTAAGAGACCAACAAAGGGATCCACTGTTGCAATACAATCTTAGCCACCATTAATTCAATTGATGGATGGATCCCCTGGGAGACCTGACAGGGGACGCATCCAACCAAGAGCTCTGTATGAAAAAAACTAAAACCACAAGCGAATCACCACAGGAGCACACAGCGCTCAATACCCCAATATATGGCAATTGGACCGTACTAATAGATTGTCTGCACTTAGGTTCCTCTGCTCCATCTAAAAGCAGTAATGGGTGTTGTGATGACCTTAGACCGCTGCAGCGGGCGGGGAGAGAGTCTCCAGGGACGTGTTCTTCTTTTATACACCCCCACCATCCCTCCGTTTGCAGCAGGTCAGATCTTGGAGATTGTAGAAGTCACATATCTTGACCGCCATGTTCCCCCAAACTTTTTGCATCGTGACTTGGTCTCCCCTGCGTACAACTCGACTATAGCAGTTCTGTTTATAGCATTCATCTTTCATTTGATACCTAATCCTTTATTTTTTTTCCCCTCCTGACGAGGCAATGACCCACATTTTGTAGCTGATTGCTTGTCATAACAAATTAGAGTGGAATTATTGACTCATGAGTAGGCATATTCTTGTATTCCTTGTGTAGCAATGTATGGATTTCCTTCACTTTCCTTTTGCCGCTGAGTGCAAATGTTCGAGAGATGGAAATCCCTTTTCATCTGTCTATTTGTGTTCATAGTTTAAAGCTAGAAGGTACATGCTGAAAATCGTATGCTTCAGTAAACTATTCAGATTATACTAAAGCAAACCAAGGTCCTTGTTCTGATGGAAACTCTTCCAGAATACCATGCATACATAACAATAATAATCGGTGAAGGGTCGGTGTGTTTTTTTTCAAAGGTTCCATGTGAAAATGAATCTGCTGTATTAGCCCAAGTGATTCTCCCCGGCCCGTCATAGGTTCAATTAACAAATTACCGGAGCTGTAATCATATCCCACAAATGGCCGTTTACCACCTATGTGCTAACCATGGGAAATATGCTTAATGAGAATGCGCGCACACAGCTGGAGATGGTTACTGAAGACTATTTACAGACATCATGGGCTCCGCGAAAAGAGTCCTCACCTAGATCCAAGTGGATGATCTTGGCGTCGCGGCTGTTGATATGCTCAACCCAAGATCCAGGTTCTAAAAAGTTTAATAACCCAGAAGGCCCAGACCTTGCAGGACGTGGTCATGATATTTAATGCAAAAGATTGCGTGCACGGAGAGATTAAAAACAAGTGTGACCATGCTGTGTAAGTCTTGTATTTGAGAGATACTTGGAAGAGTTATTAAAGGAGAACTAGGGGGGTCAGGGCTTTTCCCCATAGTTCTCCTAAGGGTAACAGGAGGACACAAACTAGCGTCCTCCCGTCACCCAAAGTTCAGTATACCGCAAGCTACATCTCCCTATATACTGAGACGCCCGAGCAGATCCCGACAATTCTATCTAGAGGCAGAGCCAGCTGTACCCGCACCCTCCCCCGTCCTTTCCGCCAGTCAGCGCTGGAGGATCGGACAGGGGAGGGGGATCCCTGCAGGGAGCCGTGAGTGACGGTCACGGCTCTCTGCAGGGATAGAACGAGAAGTGAGCGTGCGCCGGTATGTGTTCGCTCACTTCCCGATCTACTGAGCCGACCTGTGACAGTCTCATTGTCACAGGTCGGCTAGAACTATGAGGTGAGTGAAAATCACTCGCTTCATAATTCTCCTTTAAATCAAAAGATTGCGTGCACGGAGAGATTAAAAACAAGTGTGAACATGCTGTGTAAGTCTTGTATTTGAGAGATACTTGGAAGAGTTATTGATAATTTGGGTCTGTCTGAGGCCCCGGTGGATTACCGTACATTGCTGTGTTTAGTCTCTAAATGTCGATGGAGTGTCATCATTACCAAGCACAATTATACAACCAGGGTGCCATGACACATTGGTGAGCCTCCTGCTGGCCTCCTCAGTGGTGCCTCAGAATTTTGTGGTAGTAGAACGGTGATATGAAGGGGGAATAAAGACCGATGTCAAGGTTTCATGAATTGTCATGTTTGTCTTTTAATGGCTGGATCTGGTGAATCATGTTCTCACAATCCTTGTCCTGTGTGTGGTAAAATGTTCACAGCAGCCCATAACCAATAATGTACACTGTCTGGCCCCCCCAAAAAAAGTCACACCCTCTAATATTTAATTTAGCTTTGATTACGACACTCATTCGCCGTGGCATCATTTCGATAAGCTTATGCAATGTGGACGCTAGTGTGTGTCCTCTCGTTACCCTAAGGAGAACTATCGGGGAAAACACTGACCCCATAGTTCTCCTTTTAATTTTTCATCAAGATCTTGTAGTGATGATCAAAGGTTGAACTTGATGGAGCCGTGTCTTTATTCGACCTCAGATACTATGTCACTATGATGGGGGAGTCGGACCTCTGCGTAAAGTCTTCTTCAACACATTCAACATCCCAAAGATCCTCCATGGTGTTCAGGTCTGGACTCTGTGGTGGCCAAACCATGTGTGACAATGATGTCTCATGCTCCCTGAACCACTCATTCACAATCTGAGCCCGGTGAATCCTGGCATTGTCATCCTGGAATATGTCCAATGTGCCACCAGGGAAGAAAAAAATCTGGTCAAATTTTGCTGCAGGAGGTGCGTTGCGGTGCCATTCATTTCAATGGATCCCAAATGCCCCTCCCGTCCGCAGTGCGATGGCCTGCACTGGAATGCGCGGTACTGCAATGCCCTGTATTCCAGTGCAGTGCCATTTCAAAAAATTTGCATACCGTTTTATGCTGAATTAAACTTTGTCTGTAACGCTGCATTTGTGTATTTTATTTTAAGTTAATGACGGCATAATGTTTGTAAAAAAAACATTTCATCTGTTTAATCGAAGTTAATAATCGGCTAACTAATCAATTATGAAACTAATCGTTCGCTGCAGCTCTGCAATGCACATCAAAGAATATTAGTTTACACAGTGGCGTCACAAGGGCTGTGCGAGGGGTGCGACCCGCACCCGGGTGACAACATTGGAGGGGTGACACCAAAATGACTGACAATCATTTTGGAGTTTACACAGCCTGTTGCAATGCACTGTTTGCAAAATACAGCAAGGTGAGCCAGGAGAGACAGCCTAGAGAGACAGCCAGGAGAGACAGCCTAGAGAGAGAGGAGAGACAGCCAGGAGAGAAAACGAGAGACAGCGAGGAGCGAAAACGAGGAGTGACAGCCAGGGGAGAGAGAGGAGTGACAGCCAGGAGGGAGGAGAGACAGCCAGGAGAGGGAGGAGAGACAGCCAGGGGAGAGAGGAGACAGCCAGGAGAGAGAGGAGGGAGGAGAGACAGCCAGGAGAGGGAGGAGAGACAGCCAGGAGAGGGAGGAGAGACAGCCAGGGGAGAGAGGAGAGACAGCCAGGGGAGAGACAGCCAGGAGAGAGAGGAGGGAGGAGAGACAGCCAGGGGAGAGAGGAGAGACAGCCAGGAGAGAGAGGAGGGAGGAGAGAGAGGAGAGACAGCCAGGAGAGAGAGGAGAGACAGCCTAGAGAGAGAGGCGAGACAGCCAGTAGAGACAGCGAGGAGAGACAGCCAGGAGAGAGAGAGCGAGGAGAGACAGCCAGGAGAGAGGGAGAGGGAGGAGAGACAGCCAGGAGAGAGAGCGAGGAATGACAGCCAGGAGAGAGAGGGGAGAGACAGCCAGAGAGAGAGCGATGAATGACAGCCAGGAGGATGAGGAAGGAGAGGCAGCCAGAGAGAGGAGAGACAGCCAGGAGAGAGAGCGAGGAATGACAGCCAGGAGAGAGAGGAGAGACAGCCAGGAGAGAGAGCGAGGAATGACAGCCAGGAGAGAGAGCGAGGAATGACAGCCAGGAGAGAGAGCGAGGAATGACAGCCAGGAGAGAGAGAGAGGAGAGACAGCCAGGAGAGAGAGCGAGGGAGGTTTATTTTCGTTGGTAGATCTCATGTAGCTCGCCATTTGAAAAGTAGATCTTAACACAAAAAATTGTGGGCGCCCCTGACTTAGAAGTATGTGTGTGTAGATTGTCATTACTAAACATTTCTAATGGTGCCTCTGTCATTATGGGATATGGGTAAGGGTTAGTAGCTGTGTGTGATCTTCCGGTTATCTAATATCTTTGATCTAAATGGGGAAGCTCGGACATAATTAAATGCACTTGGCGGTCAAATGCTGCCCTTGTCTTCTTGTGCGTTAGGGACTGGAAATACATTGCCAGACTTGTATGTCGGTGTGTTGTCGTAATTTTTTTTTTTTTACCGTACCATCATCCTTTGTTGCCCTACACGGGAAGATGCAAGACACTTGATGAATATGTCCATGGGTTGCAGATCTGTTACTCATCACCAGTGTGTGTGTGTGTGTGTGTGTGTGTGTATATACATTCCTAATGGGCATAACTTGTATCTCTGCCAGTGATTCGGAGACATAAAATATTGGTTCTCTTCTTACAGCAAACAACACAAGGACCTTGTATGGAGGCATTGTCTATGGCATTATCTGTTTTCTTTCTTCTAGCTCTCTTAGAAGTGATAAAACATCAACTAGATGTGGAGTGAATTTCATTTAAGTAATTGGTCATTCGTGGAACAGTTTTCAGCTCTCATTAACTTTAACCACGTCACTACCAGAGGTCTTTGAAGCTTGGATTCCCAGACTGAATTTAGCAGTTTCAGTATACGTTGGCTTACATCCTGGAGATGCTCTGGCCGGCATCCTACTCGGCTCCTGGTATGAGAAAAGTCTTACAATAATAAAAAAGTTTGGCTTTTTTAAAAAAATCAAAAATTGCAGCAAAAGTGAAATAAAGCGTTCGTGGAATGCTACGTTATGTAACGCACAATAACAATGTACTTCTGAATAAGATTTTGGCATCATTTTGTTGAATATTTGCTTATTTGCTGTCTCCGCAGGGTTAAATGCGATGCTGTCGACTTGTTAAACTGGCTGAATGAACATCTGATGCTTGTGAGGACCTGGAAACGTATGTGGAGGCCGCACTGCGCACAAGCTTTCCTGTGGATACCGACACAGAGGAGGGAATTGGACAGGCAACACTGAAACCCATTCATAAGCATGGTACATGACCACTTTGTTTTCTAGTGTAGACAGAAGGATCTTTCAAAAATAACACGGCACTGTTACTTCATACAAGGTGACGCTGTTACTTCATACAAGGTGACGCTGTTACTTCATACAAGGTGACGCTGTTACTTTATACAAGGTGACGCTGTTACTTCATACAAGGTGACGCTGTTACTTCATACAAGGTGACGCTGTTACTTCATACGAGGTGACGCTGTTACTACATACGAGGTGACGCTGTTACTTTATACGAGGTGACGCTGTTACTTTATACGAGGTGACGCTGTTACTTTATACAAGGTGACGCTGTTACATCATACGAGGTGACGCTGTTACTACATACGAGGTGACACTGTTACTTCATACGAGGTGACGCTGTTACTTCATACGAGGTGACGCTGTTACTACATACGAGGTGACACTGTTACTTCATACAAGGTGACGCTGTTACTTCATACGAGGTGACGCTGTTACTACATACGAGGTGACACTGTTACTTCATACGAGGTGACGCTGTTACTTCATACGAGGTGACGCTGTTACTACATACGAGGTGACACTGTTACTTCATACGAGGTGACGCTGTTACTTCATACGAGGTGACACTGTTACTTCATACAAGGTGACGCTGTTACTTCATACGAGGTGACGCTGTTACTACATACGAGGTGACACTGTTACTTTATACGAGGTGACGCTGTTACTACATACGAGGTGACGCTGTTACTACATACGAGGTGACACTGTTACTTCATACAAGGTGACGCTGTTACTTCATACGAGGTGACACTGTTACTACATACGAGGTGACGCTGTTACATCATACGAGGTGACGCTGTTACTACATACGAGGTGACACTGTTACTTCATACAAGGTGACGCTGTTACTTCATACGAGGTGACGCTGTTACTTCATACAAGGTGACGCTGTTACTACATACGAGGTGACGCTGTTACTTCATACGAGGTGACGCTGTTACTTCATACGAGGTGACGCTGTTACTTCATACGAGGTGACACTGTCCTGTGTGCTTCAGGAACTTCATTTGCTGCAGACAATTGGAGCTTTCACAGAACACTAATAGATACTGCTAATGCGTATACAACCTTGGGGAAATAAGGGAATACTTGTCTTGCCATCAAGATTCAGTTGATTGTGTTACAATGGGGAGAAGTTGGCCCTGTAGTTCTACTTAAACATGTAATAAAGCTCACGGTGCCGGCCTGTTGGGTCTATGTGCCCACCAAAGCCTGACAGGGAGTCCAGAATACTGAGAAGCTCTGTTATGCCTGATCCACCACGTTCTGTTGATTGGTGATGGACCAGCAGTGAGGAGCAGAAGATAGGGAGGGGGTTATTGTCTGAGCTTTGGTGTATATAATAATCCGGCCACTCGGTGTATATAATAATCCGGCCACTCAGTGTATAAAAGGCACACAATGGGTTGGACTTGCGTCTTTTTTCAACCTCAAATACTAGGCAACTATGTAAATTCGTCCCACCAGCTATAGGTGCTACATAAATTCATCTTAGAACCGACTCTCCCGGACACCCAACGTATGTCCAAGGCAAGCGATATCACCTCCTGATTATATTATTTTATGTATGGAGCCGAGCGCCGCAGGGTGGAGTATTCTGAGGCCGAACTGCATGAATTATTGAATAGAGCTAAAGGAGATTTTAAGATGAGCGTTCTCTGATCAGCCCCTCGCCAGTAAGCAGTTCTGAAACTCAAGGTGACTTTTACAAATGGATACCGCAGGCCGCCTGCGCAGAGATGGGTTTCAGAATTCTGTGTTGTTCTTGTCATGACCTTCATTGTTCATCATGCGACTCAGCAAGTCTCTATCCTTCGCATAGTCTGTGTGCGCTCGTACAGCAAGGCTGGTACCCTACCGATGTTATTGTTGCCGTAGTAAGCCAACTTCAAGGCCTGCAGTTGATGGCTTTTTGAACATTTAGACATTTAGATGTTCTCTGAATATAAATATCATTATCACAGCCAAAATAAACGTCATCCAGTCGGGGTTTAGATCTACTTTTAAAATTTTATTTGGGGGGGAAAAAAGGGGATAGATATTCACCCTTTAATGTGGAAGGTAAAACGAACCTTAACCACGCGCTGACCGCGGTGTTACACCCCCTTCCTGTCCCGGCCGTTCTTCTGTGTTCAGCGCTGCGGTACTTTGACATTTATTCCGTCATGCAACGCTGTACTGACATGAATTTGGGTTATTTTTGGTTTTTTTTTTTAATATATAAACAAAAAAGTGCCCTAAATTTTGAAGAAAAAAACCTGTTTCTTTATGAAATGTTAGGAAACATTTATTATCCACCCAATTAGCTAATGCTGTGGAGTTGTGCAGCACAGTGATTTAGGGGTTAGCATTTCTGTTCTGCAGCACTGGGGGTCCCCGGTTTGCATGTTCTCCCGGTGCTTGCGTAGGTTTCCTCCCACACTGCAAAGACATGCTGGAAGGTTAATTGGCTCCTTTTCTAAATCGGCCCCTCTATGCATGCATGTCCTTGAGGGCAGGGACTGATGTGAATGTGCAGTATGTAACGCACTGCATACATTGTTGACGCTATATGAATAACCCTAATAAACAAAACTAGGGATGCACCGATATATCGGCCGCCGAACCCCCTTCGCTCCAGCACAATGGGCGAAGGGGGTTCTTTACAGTAAGAGCGGTTAAGGTCTGGAACTCTCTGCCATCGGCAGTGATTTCAGCCAAGAGTGTAGATTTGTTCAAGAAACGTTTGGACAATTTCCTGAGGGACCGTAATATCCAGGGATACCAGTACCCCTAAGCATGAGATGATGCGTGGACCTATATGGGTTGGACTTGATGGACGTATGTCTTTATTCAACCCCAAATACTATGTAATTATATATCGGCCGAAAATGGCACTTTGGGCTAAATGCTGAAAATGCAATTTTCCTGCCGATACATCGGGGCATCCCTGCTTTCTTTCCGCTGCTCTGTGTCCCAGCGGGGAGGAGAGAAACTCTGACAGCCTGTCGAGCGCTCCGGGAGGAAAGCGCTGTGAGCGGCCAGTGTGTCTCCTCCTTGCATCGCTCAGCCTCCTGTCACAGTCCGGCAGAGCGGTGTGGGGGCGGAGACAGCCCGCGACGGTCACAGGAGGCTGAGCTCTCCTCCCGCTCCGCTCGCTCAGCCTCCTGTGACAGCGTGTCAGAGAGGAGAGCGGGAACAAGCAGTCAGGGATCAGTGATCGCTGAATGTTTTTAGATAATTGAGGACATGGTATGTTTACTATATCCTCAATTATGAATGAATGGGAAGTAATCTACATCACATCTACATCACTTCCTGTTCATTCATGATTGTAGTTATAGTAAACACACTCTGTCCTCATGTTATGAATGAACAGGAACACTCAGTATAGAGGATTCCTGATCATTGATAACAGGGGATACAGAAAAAGAGATTGAGGGCTCTGTGTCTAGGAGGACTTTGTGTCCTCAATCTTTTTTTTCTATTTTAAAAGGGAAATATCAGGGGATCTGTTTAGACCCCTAATATTTCCCCGAAGCCCCTAAAAGTAAAGTAAAAAATAAAAATTATTTAATTTAAAAAAAAATATTTAAAAAAATTAAAAGTTTATAAAAAATAAATAAAATATTAAAATGAAAAACATTTTCGGTTTCGGCCGGACATTTTTTTTTAAATTTTTTAGTTTCGTTTTGGTTTTGAAATTTCCATTTCGGTGCACCCCGAAAATAAACAAAACCTGAGTCCATACGGAAGGAGTGGAGTTAGCCGTATGTATCCAAATATCCGTTATTAATAAATTCCTCGGAGGCACGCCGAGTGGCCCCCAGTCAATACACAAAGACGTTTAGGCAAAGTGAGTTGCCTCAATAACGGGGGATGGCATCATCCTGACAATCAAAAGTTAGAATGCTGGGAGATGAGTAGAAACTGATGAGTAACGGGCCAAATCCATTTTATCATTAATTATTAATTCAAGTAAAGGCTCATTGAACATTCCGCGAGTTAGTCACCCACGATGACTCCAATCCCTCCTCAAGCAGTCTGTCAGCTTTTCAATAGCGGTTGCTTGAGCGAATTACATTTTGGTTTAATATCTAAATTAACAAAAACAAATTGCTATGGCGCTTAAGTCTCCCGGCAGCCCTGTGCATGCCCCCAGCCTGTGAGAATACCCGTCTTTTGTATTAAAGGAGTTGTAAAGTCCAGGCACATCCTCTCCTGGTATAACATCGGCACTCTCATAGGAATACATACTGGAGATGTCTCTGATAATGCAATCAACGCTTAACAGAATCCCTTTTATGTAGTAACTGCGGCGGCAGTCACTCCGTCACTTTTACCAACTTCCTGTATTCCCAGTGTGCTTTGCGTCTCTTCCCCTGCTGCTTGATGTGATGCAATCTACATCTGTAAAGACTACATATCCCATCATATAGGGATGCACCGATACCTGTGTTTCAGTACTCGCCGATAGCGGTACTTCCGCTAGCAGGGAGCCGGCTCCCTGCATAATCAAGAAGCCGGGCGGTGTGGCATTACCCGCCGTCCGGCTTCTTGATTGCCTGGGAATCCAGCTCTACGCTGTTTGGCCGGCTCAGTGCTTATTGGTCAGGAAGCTGGCTTCCCAGCCAAACAGCATGGAGTCGGCTTCCCGGCCCATCAGGAAGCAAGGCGGCATGTCATTACCCGCCGTCCGGATTCTTGATTGCCCGGGAAGCCCGTTCCAGCTGGTTGGCTGGGAAGCCGGCTTCCTGGCCAATTAGAAAGTCGAGAGGCGGGTCATTGCCCGTCTTCCTGATGGGCCGGGAAGCCAGCTCAATGCTATTTGGCCGCCTCCATGCTGACTTGCTGGCAAGCCGGCTTCCCGGCCAACAGGATGGAGCCGGCCAAACAGCATCGAGCCATTACCCACCAGCCAGCTTCCTGATTGGCCAGGAAGCTGCCTCCATGTTCCCTTGCGGCACAAGAAATCTCCCTCTGACCGGATGCTCCGGTGTCGGGGAAGGTATCGGAGCATTTGGACGAGTAAGAGTACTAAATACGAATACCAGTATCGGTGCATCCCTACCATCATGCATTGCTTCCAGTAAGCAATGATAAAGTTACATTGTTCAGATGTTGAGTTGTAGTTTAGAAGGCCGGCTCTGTGAAAGGAAATGCATAGTCACAGGGCTGAGCAAAATGGTGTCAGTGCATGGAGGAAGTGCATACAGTGCATGGAGGAAGTGCATACTATGGGCATCTTCAATAAGTAAGTTTACACATTTCTAGAGGGATCTGGTTATTAGGAGTGAGATGGAACTGATGGAAATGCAATATAGAAATGCATTTTCTTTAGTCTTCCACCATAGATACCCGGAAAAAGGTTGTCTTTTCTTAGCTAGACTTCAGGATAGTAACAGTAAAACGTAGAATGGAAACAATATTGTTCCATAGAAAATGATATGGGCAAAAGAGAACAACATACAATGAGTCTATAGATGTGATTACCATATCACTAAGTTGCAGTGACTGAAGCCAGAGCCATGAGGAGTAGATCTGCACTTCCAGACAATGTAGCCGTATATAACTTGTGTGAGAGTTGCGTGGAGATAATTAAAGTGATTCTCATTGTTGGGAAATGGAACCCATAGACAAGCTGAGAGTCCCAAAGCTACCAAGGGAGTAATGTGGTTCAGCCCACTGAAGACTGAATAGCAAAACAGTTTATGAAGCTCAGGCGGGTCAAGTTCTAATCATGTCCTCAATTATCTACAAACACTCAGCGATCACTGACTGCTTGTACCCGCTCTCCATCCTGACACGCTGTCACAGGAGGCTGAGCGAACGGTGCGGGGAGGAGAGCTCAGCCTCCTGTGACAGCGCGGCCTGTCTCCGCCCCGCACCGCTCTGCCGGACTGTAACAGGCGGCTGAGCGCTGTGGGAGGAGAGACGCCGGCCGCTCACAGCGCTCTCCTCCCGCAGCGCTCGGCCGGCTGTCACTTTCTCTCCCCCCCCGCTGGGACACAGAGCAGCGCCCAGCCGGGAGGAAAGAAATCAGGGATGCGCCGACGTATCGCCACATAAATGGCATTTAGCCAAAAGTGCAATTTTCGGCGGATATGTTTCGTGTTTGTACGTATGTATGTGTACACACACACACACACTGTATACATTTACAATATTTAGTTTGGAATTATTTTTAATACTGTAACTGTATCAAACAATTTGCAGTTTTCATCAGAGGCACACTGCTATCTGACGATTTTCTCAATGAACTCTTCAGCTTGTTGAACACATAATCGGGAGCCGCTCTGGTCCATTATAGGATTTAAAGTAGATTGAAAACTCAATTCCTTCAATATTTTCAAGTGATATTCAATGGACATTATTGCCCTTCTCTGATCTTTCTAAGGCCTCAGCTATTGAATTTCAGTCGCACAAATAACTTGTTGAGAATGCCGTCTGGGTCTATTGCCGTCCTATTCTCTTGCATCAGATTATCTGCAGCCTGTAATAGGTTCACCATGCGGAGACTTCCTGTAGTGTCGTCTCTTTATCCGCTTCCACATAAAGCCTCGGCATCATTTTGTTCTGCAGAGAGGAAACATCGCTTTGTAAAGAACTTCTCGGATGTCTTCGGAGGGGACCCCCTGGATGTGATTTATTTTCTTCTTTACATCGCTTGCTTTACAGCACAAGCTGGAAAAAAAGGAATATTTCAATAGCTGACCTGGTTTTGTGGAATGGTAATACCAATACCTACTGCTCAAAGCGAGAAGATGAGAATACAAATACCCGGACTACTTCTCCGAATGACGTCGTCAAATAAAGAAACTCTTATTGTATATAAGAAATGTAATAATTAGAGATGCACCGATATATTGGCCGCCGAAAATGGCACTTTTGGCTAAATGCTGAAAGTTCAATTTTCCTGCCAATACATCGGCGCATCCCTGCTTTCTTTCCTCCCCGCTGGGCGCTGCTCTGTGTCCCAGCGGGGAAGAGAGAAACTGCGACGACCGAGCGCTGCGGGAGGAGAGCGCTGTGAGCGGGCGGCGTCTCTCCTCCCACACCGCTCAGCCTATCACAGTCCGCCAGAGCGGTGTGGGGGCGGAGACAGCGCTGTAACAGGAGGCTGAGCTCTCCTCGCCGAACCGCTCGGTCAGCCTCCTGTGACAGCGTGTCAGGAAGGAGAGCGGGTACAAGCAGTCGGTGATCAGTGATCGCTGAGTGTTTGTACTTAATTGAGGACAGAGTATGGTTACTATATCCTCAATTATGAATGAATGGGAAGTGATCTACATCACTTCCTGTTCATTCATAGTTGTAGTTATAGTAAACATACCATGTCCTCATGTTATGAATGATCAGGAACACTCAGTATAGAGGATTCCTGTTCATTGATAACAGGGGATACAGAAAAAGAGATTGAGGGCTCTGCGTGTGTCTCTGAGGGCTCTGCGTGTGTCTCTGAGGGCTCTGCGTGTGTCTCTGAGGGCTCTGCGTGTGTCTCTGAGGGCTCTGCGTGTGTCTCTGAGGGACTCTGTGTCCTCAATCTCTTTTTCTTTAGAATGGAAATATCAGGGGTCTGTTTAGACCCCCAATATTTCCCCGAAGCATCTGAAAGTAAAGTAAAAAATAACAATATTTAATAAATAATGAATTGGATCCTTCAATCATCTCTGAATTGGTGCCGACACTGTCCTTCCTTCTGGAGGGGGGGCTATGTCTGTTCCCCATGGTCCCTGTGTGTGTTGTAAAGTAGCCACCGCTCCAAGCTCCCCCCCGGAATGGACTATAGTCTCAATACAAATTAGTAAACTAGAGATTGTAGTCCATCACAAGAGCGAATGTAGAGCGGTGGCTACTTTACAACACACATAGGGACCATTAGGAACCAAGTAGACACCCCCTAGAAGGAAGGACAGTGTCGGCACCAATGTGTGCTGTAAAGTAGCCCCCGCTCCAAGTTCGCTCCTGTGATGATCGACAATGTTAGATTTAGTGTACTAATTTGTATTGAGATTGCAGTCCATCCCGGGGGCGGAGCTTGGAGCGGTGACTACTTTACAACACACACAGGGACCATGGGGAACAAAAGTAGCCACCGCTCCAGAAGGAAGGACAGTGTCGGCACCAATTCAGAGATGATTGGAGGATCTACAGCCGAGTGATACACAAATAAGATACATTGTTGTTAATAGTTCAGGGACATGAAATGTATTTTTAAGATTTAACTCCGGAGTTTAAAAGTTTCAATGAGGTTCAGTTCTTGGATGACTGCAAGCAGGAAGTGGAAGAGTAACAGATCCATTGGCAGGATCCTAACAAGGGGGGGCATCAGAAAAAGTAATAAACTGCATAATTTACAGCGATGGGTATTTATCAAAATCTGGAGCAGCTGTGCACAGCAACCAATCAGCTTCTCTCTTTCATTTTCAAATCTTAACTGTACAGACTGAAGAGAGAAGCTGATTGGTTGCCTTATGCAACTGCTGTAGGTTCTTCTGCTCCAGTTTTGATAAATTCCCCCCCCCCCGGTTTATCTTTGTTTTTTTTCCCCATAGTTTCCTTTAAATCTTTAGTGTAATAAATTATTGAACGTGTTTTGTTACACAATACCCAAAGTCCCCCCCATCCCCCCCGCCCAATTCTAATATCATATGCAGTAAATAGACAGACTGCTTATTCCCTTGGGGGGTGAAAACAAGCTACTTCGGCTGTCAGAGATGTTTTTTTCTCACACATGAAGGTTTTTCTTTCACAAAGTAGCACATTGAGAAGTTATTACCTGTTGGAAAATCTCTTTATGAGCATGCTAATCCTTCTCGATCAAACTGCACATTATTCATCGCTGTCAGCATCCGGTGAGTGGCGCGGTGGGGTCCCGGCGCTTGAACGCTCAATTTAAAAACTCAGCTTCTCTTAACAGATGCTATAAATACAAAATATATAAATACAAGAAAAGTGTGATTTGTTTTACCTGTAAGACCCTTCCGATCAGCAGGGGGGTCCGTGCACAGATCCCATGCTGATCGGAGCAGTAAAAATACAGGTCACTCTGTCATGTACCTGGCTGGAGACCGAGTTGAGCGGGGGAAGGATACACTTGCAAACCTTGTCCGACTCTCCTGAGGCTGGGTTCACACCTAGGCACATCGAATATGCGCGTTTGTACCGCGATTCGCGGTAAAAACAACGCACGACAAATGCGCGTTTCCGAGGGCTACCTGGCTGTATCCCAATGGATACGCGCGGCAAATACGCCCCAAAGAAGCTCCTAGGCAAATTCAGAGGTCATCGCATGTACACTGACCCATGACCAAATGTTACTGATTGGTCCATGGTTGTTTTGGTTTCAGCTTCTTGTCTTGTTGTCTTCTTTTGTTACAGAGATCCATCCGGTCGTTTGCGAACGATGACCGCCATGTCATGGCAAAACACTCCACTATATACCCATCTCCAGAGGAGCTGGAAGCTGTCCAGAATATGGTATCTACAGTGGAATGTGCACTAAAGCAGGTCTCTGATTGGATGGACGAACACAGTAAAAGTGAGACCGTGGAGAATGACCAACCAGAAAAGGAAGAAGACCACGAAGAAGAAGACGCATCCAAGTAAGATTTATGACTGACGGGGGGTTTAATTCATGATATTTCATCTCTAAATATTTATTATTGCATGAAGAGTTTTGTTTAATATTATTGTCTATATCACCGGTCGCCAACCGGTGGTCCACGAGATAATTTTGGTGGTCCCCGGGGGCCCCTCTGATGCCGTGCAGGCTGGGCCGTCATTGAAGCTGCACGGAGGCTCCGGGGCTGCCTCTCACCGACTCAAGCAGCGGCTGTCACAAGGAATGCGCGGCTCTCAGTACAGTGCGGGCTCTGCAGGAGGCGGGGCATCTTGTCACTCCCCGGACTGAGCAGGCTGCGGGACATAGAAAAAGTGGGGAGAAGCCAGGTAATAGTGGCTCAGTGTTGGGGAAGGGGGGGGGGCACAGGGGTGGTTTGGGGCAGTGCTGAAGCTAGGGGCGGCATGTGCCGCGGGCAGGGCCAGTGGCAGATTCGATAGGAGGGGGAAACAACTCATATTATTACTGGGCCGGGGCGGGTAGCACTGCTCCCTCCCTCCACTTCCTCGAAACCAGACTTCCGGTCAGATGGGAGATTTCCTCTGACTAGTAGTGCCGCGAGGGAACAGATCTGGCTTCCTGGCCAATCAGGAAGCCAGGCAGCGGGGAATGACCCGCCTCCCAGCTTCCTTTTTGGCCGGAAAGCCGGCTCAATCCTGGTTGCCTGGGAAGCAGCAGGGAGCTTGCTTCCTCAACAATCAGGAAGCCAGGCGGCAGGTATAAAAAATATAAAAAAAGGAAAATATAAAATAAATAATTAAAAAAAGTTAAAAAAATAAATAAATAAAACTAACCCTGCCACCCCTCCCATCTGGTTGCCATTTTCCATGGGGGGCACATTGAGGAACCTGGCCTTGGGGAAGCCAGGAAAGTAAATCCGGCCCTGCAAATAATATACATTTTTGTTATTAGCTAAGATACTTGTATCTATTTTTAAGGTTTAGCTCCTGACTTCAGTGTCACTTTAAAATGTATATAAAGCGACTGCCTGGTATGACTGATTGGAGCAGGGGGCAGTCCAAGTGAGGCCTGCTACCAAGGATAAGGCTTTGCACATCCCATATGTCCTGATAATTCCGATAAAGTTCTGGCACACCGGTCCATTTTGTCATTGTGGATTTGTGTACTTTGTGCCGGCGTTGTATTCGGGAAGTGGATGTTGATTGGCTGTTCTGCATAGATTTCTGGAATGGGCAACACTGCACGGGACACAGCCCTCCTCGCTGCCGGATCATCCTGCTGTTGTAAAGTAAACAAAAAGGTTTTGGAAAAAGGAAATTGCATTACCCAGACCATATAGAAGAGAACTGTGTAGGTCTGGCGCCATTGATTTTGCTGAGTCCTGCCCAAGAAGGAGCCACACACACCGTACAGTGTAAACAAATTGTGTTGAATAGAAAACACATACAAATTATTTTTTTGCCACAAGATTTTTTTATATTTAAAACATATACTATACATGCTATTTACAAGTAGGACGCATTCGTTGAACCTTTCCCCCTCTCAAGCAGTCAGTCCAGGGTAGGCGTTTGATGTCTCTTAAAGGAGAACTATGAGGGGAGTGATTTTCACTCACCCTCATAGTTCTAGCCGACCTATGACAATGAGACTGTCACAGGTCAGCTCAGTAGATCGGGAGGTGAGCGAACACATACCGGCGTTCGCTCACCTCTCGATCCTGTCCCTGCAGAGAGCCGTGACTGTCACTCACGGCTCCCTGCAGGAATTCCCCCACCTGTCCGATCCTCCAGCGCTGACTGGCGGAACGGACGGGGGAGGGGGCGGGCACAGCTGGCTCTGCCTCTAGATAGGCAGAGCCAGCTGTCAATCACGCAGCTGGGTGGATCTCGACAGTAATGTCGGGATCCATCCCGGCTGCGGCGGACGCTATATACCACAAGCTGTAGCTCCCTATATACTGAGCTTTGGGTGATGGGAGGACGCTAGTTTGTGTCCTCCCGTGACCCTTAGCAGAACTATGGGGAAAAGCCCTAACCCCATAGTTCTCCTTTAAAGAAGACTACAGGACTTTACATTCTTTTGTCTCCTTGCGACAGTAAAAAAATGTCTTCAATACTTGTGCCTGAAATGTTTCCATAACTCGGTTCCTGTGTTATTGGTGTAGAGGTTGGTGTTAATTAGGGATGCACCAATACCGATTTTTCGGTATCGAGTACCGATATTTTTTTTCCCGGTACTCACCGATACCAAGTACCGATACCGGAAGTCCCAGTAAGGAAGCCAGGCGGCATGTAAAGACTCGCCACCTGGCTTCCTGATTCGGAAACCGTCCCCATGCTTCCTCGTCACTAGGTGACGAGAAAGCATGGAGCCAGCTTTCCAGGCCAAACAGGAAGCCGGGCGGCGTGTAATGGCGCGGTGCCCGGCTCCCTGATTGGCCGGGAAGCCGGCTCCCTCCTCAGGTGTTGGGGGAGCATGAAGCCAGCTTCCCGGCCAATCAAAAAGCACACTCCATGTACCCATTGCACTCCTGACCGCTCGTCCATCAAAGTAGCATGGGTGCTCAGTAGTGGACTGATGGCCACCGTCACAATAATGCCGATAGATATGGACACCGGCACTCCGACAATAAGTAGAATACGTCTATTTATTGACGTACATGCAGAAGAGCACAATACACTTCGGGGTCACAAAACTACTTGTTTTGCCTGATGAAGTGGATCCTATGTGACCCCCGAAACGACGCACTTAGTGCATTACACTCTTCTGCCTGTACGGAACGGGGAGGTGGGAATCCCTGCAGGGAGCCGTGAGTGACAGTCACGGCTCTCTGCAGGCACAGGATTGAGAAGTGAGCGAGCGACGGTATGTGTTCTCTCACTTCCCGATCTATTGAGCCGAGGTGTTCTATTGAGCCGAGGTGCTCACTTCCCGATCTATTGACAGTTTCATTGTCACACGTCGACCCGAACTATGAGGAGGAGTGATTTTCACTCACCTCATAGCTCTCCTTTAACTGCCCGCACCTTTGGATCCTCTTATCTAACCTCCTGTTTTTTGTTTGTTTTTTTATCACGTGGTCAAAATCGCCTATTTTTATGACAGTCTTTCGGGTATTCCCTTGCTGACGGCTTTATTTACCGCCAACTCTCGTATG